TGCCTAATATCATAAGTAGGTTAAGTGGGTCGTGTTGACCCACATACAATCCGTGTACTCGTCTAATATTGTAAATAGGTTAAGTGGGTCTTGTTAACTTGTATACGACCCACTTATCCTGTTTATAATATTTTTAAATTTTAATCTATCTAACTCAAATCATATTTAAAAATAAATTTTCATACATAAAATGCATAAATTCTTCAAGATTCATGACTAAAATAAAAAAATCAATACAATAATAAAGTTTAAATAGGATTTCAATGGAATATTTATGTAACACTAAAATTACCTATTTACTCTTAAATAAACGGGTCACTGAGCTAACTCACATGTAAATCCGTGACACAAAACGTTTATATTCGTATTATAAATGGGTGACCCATTTATGACACGAACCTATTTAATCTCAACCCTAACCTGTTTATTTCACATGTTAGGGGAATCGTGTTGCATGTCATGACCCATTTTGTACCCCTAATACTGAGACAATACAAAAAAGCTATCCTGGCCATTTTACGTAAATTCATTTCCTAAAATTCTAATGTCTTCTTACCTGAAATTGGCAAAAAAAAACTAACTTGAGGATCGTGCAGCCAGTCCAGTATATTGTTACTTTCAGGTACACAAAGCAAATAACCAAGCATAAAGAAAACCACATTAGCACATAGATTTTGACACGCTAAATTCTAAAATAAGTTATCTTAACATTCCATTGACTTATATTCAAAAACACTATAAAGATAGGATGTGAAAGCTATATCCTTACATGTTCAAAATGTGATCACCAGATTGGATCAAAGTTATTTTCACTAGATCTTTAACCATTGAATAAAAGCAAACTCCACACAAGTAGGACCTCCTCCAATAACTACAAAATTAGGGTCGATTCTACGCTCTTGTTCAATTACATTAGGGAGAGTAGCTTTTTCAAATCACTCAATCAATTAACGTTGAAAATCAATCAAAAATAAGGTATCTTAGCAATCAATCAATACTGTTAACGATCGATTTTTAGCCTTAAGCTCGATGATAAAAATCCTTCGATTCTCTAATTACTTAACGTTGAAAATTTTTCGAATTGCATGATTTATAATTTTTCTACATATATTGGCTATGTTTTATAATTGAATTTTGGATTGGATTAAAAATATATTTAAAGCCTAAAAATAATTAGTAAAAGCCCAACAATTATTAGTGATAGCTCAAAAAGATAAAATCTAAAAATAATTAGTAATCATTTGAGGATAAATAAAAGAGAGTTATAGAAAAAAGAAAGAAGAGATAAGGATTGAGGAGAGAAGAAGTGTCCAAAAGGAGTGAAAAGGGGGAAGTTAACGTGAAGAATAAAAGGGTGTTAGCAAAAAAAAGAGGAAAGAGCACGTTAAAAAAAATAAGAGGAGAGTTAACGTGAAAGCAAGAAAAAAAAAGGAAAACACAACTAAAAAGAAAAAAAGAAAAGACAGTAGCAACAAAAAGAAAAACGCAGCAGTGAAGAGGAAAAAAGAGGGAGTAATTGAGCAAATCATTATGAGCCCCCATCTGAGTGCCATGGGAAAGATCCGAAGGATGGAATCGATTTAGATGGGCCCATTGGACGGTTCGTCACGGAAACTAAGAGGAACTCCTTACGGTTCCTTTTGTATTGATTTTGATTTAATATTGATTCGTCAAATTATGACTCAGTTTAGCGCTTAAGTGATGTCGGGTTGGCTCTTTGGAGCGCTTTTACAAGTGTGTGATATGATAGAGTCGCCACCTTAATTTGTTTTTATTTTCAAAGAAAAGATTAAGAAAAAAACCCGTGTTGGACTCCATTTTTAGTTTGCCTTGATATGATAGAGTCGCCACCTTAATTTGTTTTTATTTTCAAAGAAAAGATTAAGAAAAAAACCCGTGTTGGACTCCATTTTTAGTTTGCCTTTTCGGATAAAATGCACTAGCCTCGAATCATTGGGTTTGGGGACCAGGTTTTCAGCTTCTTTCAAATTGAATCAACGGTTTGGGTCATAATTAAGAAATCAAAAATCATGAATGTCAATTTATCGATGCATGAATATTCTAATAATGCATGGCAATGCTAGAAATATGGTGCATTAAGAGCATAAATAATTAAAAGCGTGTAATTCAGCGGGGAGCCCGACTCTAGTCTCGTTTATCGAGGATTCTAGATCGTTCAATAAATTTCCCTAAGTTACGATCAGTCAGTTCGGTCGGGGCCCGCTACCTAGGCTAATATCCATAGGTATGCCTTCGTACCTCATTTGTATGAGGATCAGGGGTGCACGAAGTTCTACCATCGATTAGGCTGGTAGGGTTTTGAAGGTGCCACTCGGGGAGTGGGCTTGCTTAAAGGGTTTACCGATGGAGGGCTTGCTTGAAAATTGGTTTTGTGGTTTTGCCGAACGGACCAGGCTTCGTGTGTCTGTTGAACCGGGCTTAAAGCATGCTAAGTGCCGAACAGACCGGGCTTGACAAATGATATGGTGACAAATGGACCGGGCTTAATTGACAAAGTTTTGAGTTTAGTGTTTTATGCCCTAGTGCTTGTGAAGTGGCCGGATTGGAGCTCCATGGTGTTAATTGACCAAAGAGTTCGAGTCTCTCTCCAAGTAAGCTAAGGTATGGCACGAGGACTCGAATTATAGTCTTATATTTTACTAAGTTAATTACGAATTATTATTTAATTCTTAAATCAATTAATGATAAATTAATTAACTAATAGCTTTAGTCTAAGGAAGACTAAAGTGTAAGTGAAAGCCAAAAGGTCTAAGGAAGACTAAAGTGTAAGTGAAAGCCAAAAGGATCTACTTTTGAGTACCAAGTCAGGCCTTAACTCAATTAAGGAAGAAGAGCAAGGTCGGACTATATTGCCTTAGAATCGTAAAAGGGAGAATGAGAGCCGTTGAAGCTTGAGAAGCACTCAATCAAGCAACAAGAGGTGTTTTGGAATGAGAGGGAGTGTTCCTTTTATAGGCAAGGGAATGCTGACCCAGGTCAAAAATCGGTGCCGAGGTCCTCTCAATTGGCACCGAAATGCTCCTATTCGGTGTCGATTAGGGGCCTCGGTGCACCCAAAATTGGTACCAATATAAGGGTAATCGGTGCCGACGCTGGGCTTTTCGGCACAGATCGTGGCGTTTTACCATTTTGCCCCTACCCTTTGGTTTTAGGGTTTACAGGATTCCGGAGGTCCGTTCAAGGCTCAAATGATGCCCGATCAAGATAATTCTCACGCTGTTGGAACCGTGGTGGAATTTCCTAGAGTCTGGTGTTGAAATTATGATGAACAACTTGCCCCCTTCGAGAGATAAGAGTTGATCAAGGCCCGATCTTTCGGACTCCGATTTCAGTGCTTCTGAAAAGAATTTTGGTCTGAGAACCATAGCTGGCAGATCGAGGTAGTGTTTGGAACATCCTGTGCAAATCTCGTTGGATTTCAAGAATATTTTTCTGTAGCCGGTCTGACCCACCTGATTTTTCGTGTTCCTTTTGTAATTGTCTGTTGAATTAGAAGGTACCGCTGTATTTGGGATTTTGTCACGAACATTTTGACTGTGACCGTGCTTCAATCTGAATCCGGATGAGTCCTAAAAGATTTGATCTTCTAAACAGGGGCGAGGCTCGTCTTCCCCTTTTCTTATAAATAAAAGAGGGTGAGCTTTATGAGCTCACACTTGCCCATTTCTCTCTTCTTACTATTTCAAAACTTTTATCAATTTCTTTTGTAGAGATGGCTCAACAACCGAGGCGTGCACCCCTCATAACTTCTGGCAACACCGATTTCATCTTGAAGGATTGGGACACTCATATCTTAGTCATCGGCTAGGGTCCGAGATTTTTCTCATTAGCCCCTAAACTTTTAGTGTTCTGCAATTTGGTCCTTAATTGTGCTCATGCTAGAATTAGAGTCTGCTTTGAACATTAAATGATATATGTAACCCATAGGAGAATAAATTCTCAATGCTAGGACCTTAAGTTGACTAGGTAGGTAATTTTGCAATTCGATCCTTGAACTCGGGGCAAATTACGTTTTGGTCCCAATAATCTATTTATCTCGAATTTTAGAGCCGATTTCAGTTCTGATCAAAACCACAATCTCCTTAGGCCTTGTAGGCAGCCGCAGTCGGATTCTAATGATAATTTACCTTTTTGGTCCCTGAATTTTGGGAAAATTATCACGTTGCCCTTATGCTCTGTTTTTAGTCCTGCTTGGAGCTAAACCTCCTATGACCTAGCAAATAGCCCTGAAAGAAGTCTGATAGGTTTGAAAACTCGGATTCAAGTCTGATAATTTCTATAGTTGGTTTGAAAACCCCGATTTAAGTATGATAATTTTTGTAGTTGTTCTAAAAATCCCAATTTAAGTTTGATAACTTTTGTAGTTGGTCTAAAAATTCCGGTTTAAGTTTAAAAAATTCTGTGATTAACTTGTCTGCCTGCTATATCTCTAAGTGGGTATAGTAATTATAACTTGGTTTTTAAATGAGTTTACATGTTTTGCTTTGACAATAGTAATACAATCTATTCTTGTTCTTCACGATCTTTGATATGCGAATTTAAGTTTGCTTTCCGTATTTACACAAAGTATTTCGAAATTTCCTTTTCTATTCTCCTATCAAAAGTCTAAACCTTAAAAATTTAAACAAAAAATAACAAAGTTAGTTTTTTATTTTTGGTTTCTTATTTCTTTCGTGTGCTAACTATTACAGTTATTTTGGGGATCAAACTTTATTCTCTCTCCTCTAATCGCCCTTTTTCTTTATGTTTCTAATGGTAAAAGGGCTTAATTTCGGATAGAAGGATACAGCAAAAGTTAGGGATAAAAAAAGTACGTATTTCTAAAAAAAAATATAAGGATAAGGTTATATCCTGTCAAAAAATATGGGGAGAAAATTCTAATTTTCCCTAGAATAAAATACGAAAGGTCTGGCCCCACACATCAAGCTCTGAACAAATCAAAACACACCGTTTCTTTAAAATTTAAAAGATGAAAAGTCATGTCAACCCAAGTTATCTCTCTTTCCCCACTCTCGCCCGCGGACGACAGCAGCAGCAACGCCTCCGTGGCGACGAAGCCCACCACAGCTGTTCATCGTAGCAGCTGTTTCCTCTTCTACAAGGGCGCCGTTCGTTATCCAGCCGAGACTGTTCTCTTTCTCGCATTTGCCAATTCTCCTCTCTTCGTGGCGTTGCCATTCAGCAACTCGCTGCTGCCCACAACCTACCCGAAGCCGCTGCTCTACGTCGCCGGGAACCTCGTCGAGTTCTCCGTTTGGACGGAGCTGAATCGCCTTTGGCCATCCCTATTCTCATTCCATTTGGTGCCACGCCTTGTTGGACCGCAAAACCCTCCTCTCTGGAAGGTAGTTTTGCTTCTGTCAAACAATAGAATTGAAACCCTAAAAATTGGTTACTGGCTTCAATAAAATGGAGAATCCTGGTGGAGATGAGACGAAGGTATGTCGATATCTTTTGTACTGATCACGCTTCACTTCTTTTATTCGTTATTTATGTCAAAATTTTTATTTACTTCAAGGACCAAACAACTGATAGTGGAATGGTTGATAAATACAATGTCGAAGCAGCAGAAATTATAGCCAATAACGCACAGGTTTTGTATTAGCAGTAGTTTCTTCTTCTTCTTCTTCTTTTTTTTTTGGAAGGGAGGGGTGTTGGTACGGCTGTTTACTCACCTGGATTGTGCCCGAAAAAATATTTTACTTCTTCAAATGTATTGACTTTTAGCTTTTCAGTTTGATGTTTTAGTATTTTACAATTGTCATCACAATACATCATGATGCAAGTCGGGTAGGTGTAAGTATTGGTTTTTAATCTCTCTTCCTTTATTAATTTTTTATTTTAAAATTTCAGCATTTGCCCATTACTCAGGCAGCACCAGTATATGAGCAACTTCTGTTATTGTTTCCTACGGCTGTAAGTTTCTTTTAGTAATTGTGTTTGGCCTTTCAAATTGAATTTTTACTTAAAAATATGGTTAGTTATTCTTTGATCACTGTCAATGCACTTCTCCTACTACATGATAGCCAAAGTTAGCATAGCTCTATGGTTATCAATGTCAACTACGGGGTTTGGTATTATATGTGAAGAGAACCTGCTGTGGAGCATTTACTATTAGTTGCTTGTCTTGAGAAGTTAGACAGTCTGTAATAACTCTGATGAAATGTCATTCATGATGTCATCTTGATTTTATAATTTTGTCCCATCCCATATTTAGCAGTCGTTACTCTTTTACAAACTTGCACTGGAAAAGAATATACATGATCTGTTTGTTGTTTAGTGTTGTTGATGGCGTCTAGGCCCGAGTCAAACCTAGGCCTAGTGTCTATGTCTCAACTAGGCATGCCTGTACTTTTTTTATATCAATTTTTATTCCTACTGTTCCAAATAATTTGTGGAAATGGTGCTCCTCCTATGCTTATAATTCTTGTTTAACCTTGATTATTGATTAGATTTAAGAACTATAGATTTATGTTTGATGCAATGATTTAATCTTGAATTACTTGACTTAATACACTTCTATATTGAATCTTTTGTTGTTCTTTTAATATGAAAAAGTTAATGACGTTTATTAGTATTCAGTTTGTTCTTCTCATTATATGCATGTGAAAATTATATTTTTCAGAATTTCTAACAAAGTTTTGACTTTTGTTTTTGATGCTTAAATGGTGGCTGCTAAAATATAATGGAACATGATTTGCCAATTATTCAATATTTGTTTAGTTAGTTTATATAGTACATTCTATATTTTTTAGATATAGTGTGACTAGTATCTATTTGAAATCTTATTATTCAACTAGGAAATATATGTATATATGTATATGCATGCGCCTGTTATTCACTATGCATATGCCTGGCTAGATGCCTTGTGCTTCTGGCTTCAGGACCGATTGTGCCTTGATGTGCCTGTGTCCTTAACAACATTGCCCTTTTTATTGTCAACATGCTTACATAACCTCATCTCTATCTGTTGTGGTTCTTTGAATTGTTTTAGCATGAATTGTGACTCTGGGTCTTTAAGACATTGCATGCCATTTGAAGCGGTTTCTCTCTTTCTCTAGGCAAAATTTTGGAAACAATATGTGGAGGCTTTTATGGCTGTAAACAATGATGATGCTACAAAGCAGATATTTAGCCGGTGCTTATTGAATTGTCTTCATGTTCCTCTTTGGTATGTATTTACCTTATATGTTAATATTTCACTGTTGAATATTTGTCTAAATTTTCTGTGGTTTCCAGTGGATAATTATTTGTTTATTTAATTTAAAGAATATTGAAAAATCAACCTCAAATCCACAACTGACAGCATTTGCCCAACTCCTGCCTTCCTTCCAAAACATAATAGAGCACTTTTGAGTTGTGGCCTAGTCTACATTTTGTACGGTCATTCAGGTGAATTGTTGCTTAAAGAAGAAACTTGGAAGTCATTTTGAGCTTATATCTTTTGGCTGTTTATCATTGGGTTTTGTGTTTGCATGAAATCCTAAAAATTCACAGATTTAGATGCTATGTTGGTGCTCTTAAAATACCTGCAAATAAATTGCTCTTTGGCGTTTTGTTTTAAGTGTGATAACATTAGCTAACCTGCCTTGATAGTAGAAAACCAATCTAGCTAAATAAAGTCCTGAAGCTCTAAACTGGAAATCAGTAGGAAAGAAGTCAAGAAATAAAGTAGCAAGAAAGAAACTGTAGGAAAAGTTCCATCGGTAAGAAAAAGGAGGAGAAAAGAAATATCTTTGAGGTAAAAAGAGGATGGGAATTATGTAGAGTAATGGTCCATTGAAGTTGAAGTGTGATCAAGCATATGCTTACCTCTACCTAGTGCTGAAATATAATAATTTAGTACTCGTCCTTTAATTTCAAATGTGTTGGTGGGAATCCATGAATTAGATTTCAATCTCTAGAAATTCTGTCCTTGTAATTTTACATTGCCACGTAGTTGATTTTGCTTTTACAGTTATAGGCTATCTATATTGCAGTGTTGTGCTTTCTAGTAGTTAGGAGTATTTGACTGGACAAAAGATACTGCCCATTGGAAGTGCTAATTTCTGAGTTTACAATATATGCGGGGCAAGTTTGTATTTTAGGCTTCTTTATGGATTTCTATTTCAGAGGCGTCAATAAGATCCAATAAGAGTTAACGAGTGCTGGTTAGAAAATTACTTGCCATTTTTTTATTGTTCAGAGGAAGTTATCTTATCCTCCTCTTTGAAATTTTCCTTAATTTCTATTAATAGGTATTATTTTAAAATAAAAATTGTTGGTTTTTGTAGGCGTTGCTACATTCGATTCATTAGAAAGGTCAATGACAAAAAGGGTGTAGAGGGACAAGAAGAAACAAGAAAAGCTTTTGATTTTATGCTTGGTTATGTTGGTGTGTTTTCCCACTTTAATTTTGATCTGAATATGCTCTTTTCATTTTTTATTTAGACATGTTATTTATGAGTAATTCATTTAAAATACCCTGAACCTTGTGAGTTGTAATAATTGCACCCCATTTTGACCTTAACCCCCTCCACACCCTAATTTCAAACATTTGTTATAATTCTACCCTGAATCAAAATTAGAGCTTTGAAAAGCAATAAAAAAATAGAACAGTTGGGACCCACACCTGACCCTTGGTTAACTCTAACCCAGCTGAAATTGAGTGAAACGGTTTGTTTCACTGTTGTTTTGTTTCAATGAACTTTTAGCTTCTCTTTCCCCTCTCACCAACGAACATCATCTCTTTATTTGCTGTAAACTGTTCTTTCTCCTTAATCATCTAAGATTAAGATTAAAACAGAACCAACAAATACAAATGTATTTTATTAGAATGGAAAGAAATATACAATTGAGCATTTCAATTGTGCCTGAACTAATCAATGAAACAAAACAAAACCCAGATAATAAAAATGTGAAATTTGCAATTCCTCAAAATGAAACTTAAAAAAGAGAAAGGAAAAAGTAAAAAGGTATTGTCTTTGTTAGTTGTTAAGATAAAAAAAGTAATCACTTTGTTAAGAGTGCACAAACTGTAAAACGGAAAGGAAATTTATTTATTAATTATTAATGAAAATTAATTACCTGGAATTCTCTTTCCACAAAGATCCTTAATACTGAAATCTCAAAACATATCAGACCTTATTTTTAAAAGAACCAAAATTTCTTGTCTAGGCTACTGATTATTATCAAAGTTTCAGTCACCTCCAATTTCCTTTTAATGGGTTTAATAAGGAAAGGAGAGAGAGCGATAGAGAGTTGTAGAGTCACTATAGAAATGTGATACAAGAAGGATTAACATAAAAAGTGAAGAAAAAGGGAAGAAGAATTTAAATAGAAGTCTCTATTTATTCACCATGGGTCTGCAATCTTTCCTTGACCTGAGATGGTGTTCGTGGATCAGTCCTGGTATTCTTCTTTGCACGCGAGATTGAGAAATCAGGTTAAGGGAATTAGGGATCGAGTTTTGTTCATTGGGGAGGCTCATGATTGGGTTTTATCAACATAAACAAAAACGCTGCGTTTTGGTTAACCACATTTGGGTTAGTTTAACTCTTGAGTCAGTCATGGGACCCACATCACTATTATTAAATTCATTTTTTAAACCTTGATTTTAGATTAGGGTAGAATTATAACAAATGTTTGAAATTAGGGTGTGGAGGGGGTTAAGGTCAAAATGGGGTGTAATTATTACAACTCACAAAGTTTAGGGTATTTTAAATGAATTACTCTGTTATTTATATCATAAGGTCACATTTAGTTCACCCTGGAAATGGATGTTATCTAGACATTTCTACCAAGAATATAATTTATTAGTTGTAGAATTGATACTTAGGTTTGATTCAAGTGATTCAAATACAAATATCTTATTAAACATTTTGAATTCCTTGTGTGGCAAAAATGAAAGGTGTTACTTACGTGTTTAGAAATTGTCTGTACTGCCCAGAGAGCTTGAGATGTTAATCCTGATTGTAGGATTTGGTTATCAAATATCGTCTTTGGCTTTAAATATAAATCTCGTATGATTGCAACAGGATTTATATTCACTTTCGAGAAAGATTTCAAGTGACTGAAACCCTGAACCACTTATATAATGACGAAATGCCTAAAAGACAATGGTCTAATACTTGGCTATTTAAGGATATGGTTTCTAGCTTGGGATATGTTGGCTAGAGTTTTTGTTTTTCAGAAAACATTTGTGGCACCTGGGGTGTTGGCCTATATTAGAACATGAAAATTGCATATAATATTAGTATCAAGCCGAAAAAAATAAAATTATTGTACTAGTGGTTTCATGTAGATGGAACTCAGCATTTGAAGTTAGCTTTGTTTCTTCCCCCGAAATAGAGCCTTTGGCTAGATTATGCTACAGTACTTGAGCTCTGTGCTTAAAAAACAGGTGTTTATTACAATTCATGTGACTGATTACCTGAAGGTAATAGATGATATCTGCTTGACCTTCAGAGAAACAAATGGTTTCCCAAATTAAAATATCCCAACAAGGGTACTGATTGTGCAAGTACATGTAAACATTATGAAGGCATACATTTGACAGGAATATTATGTGGAATAATTTGACGAGCATTTATCTGATGCATGTGCTACCAGGAACTGATGTAGCATCTGGGCCTGTATGGATGGAGTACATCACCTTTCTAAAGTCATTACCGGTTTGTTTCTAATCTGTGTTTTGTACTTAATCTTTCTTGGCAGAAAACAGATGGATGGGACTGCATATTCCTATTGTTTAACCTTTTAGTTTTAAAACTTTAATAATTTATTATCTGTCGTCATTTTTTGTTCTTAATGTGAGATTATCTTGCAGGCTCTAAATGCACAGGAGGAGTCGCAACGGATGACTGCTGTACGAAAAGTGTACCAGAAAGCTATTGTCACTCCTACCCATCATGTTGAGCAACTCTGGAAGGACTATGAGAATTTTGAAAACTCTGTTAGCCGGCAACTGGTAATATTATGGTTGTGGCTCACAGTTGTCATGCAAACCATTTCACCTTAAATGTGGATGCAAGTATGTGTGCAAATGTGTGTGCCTGTGTGAGTGTGTGAGGATGCATGTTGTATTACTGCAATCTGATTATATTGTCTTAACCAGGCCAAAGGATTGTTATCTGAATATCAACCAAAATATAACAGTGCCAGGGCTGTCTATCGGGAGCGAAAGAAATATGTTGATGAAATTGATTGGAATATGCTAGCTGTACCACCAACTGGCTCTTACAAGGCAATTTCCTGATGATCTGTATTAAGATATATTGCTTTTCTGATGCTCTCTGATTGTTGGTTCACAAATGTGTACAAATTTACTTGTTCTGTGTATATAACATGCAACTGGTGTGTGGGTACAAAAAGATATGACTTGTGAATGAGCTAGATGGCAGATTACTTTCATCTCTCTTTTTTCCTATGTCTTTTAATTATTTTTTTCAATAACTGATTTTGCCTTAGTAATCAACATTCACTAACAACAACAAAGTATGGTTGTCTGGGAAGGAAAGCTAAGTGCTTAAAATCTTGAAGTGAAACTTTACTTAGCACCAATTTCCTATGGGAATTAATTTCCCCCTCTCTTATGTAGTTCATAGAATTCGTTCTCTCTCTTTAAATTTTTCCATGGAAAATGTTGTGTGAAACTAGGATTTTAAATCAAGGTAATTGGGATTATTGCCCTTTCATTAGCTTACCCAGTATATGATTTTTGTTTGAACTCTAAAGTGCTTATCGGTAATCTTGCCTTAAATGTCCTATTGAAAAGCATCATGTGGTTAGAGTTCATTCATATTATTGCATCATATATATAAGTCACCTACTTTCTGGTATATGTTGAACTGGAAAAATGATTCCTGCATTAGAATTGTCTTTGTTTTTATTTTTACTAATCCTGATTTTCTCAGTTCAATCTTTTAGCTTGATGTTTGATCTGTGTTCCTGCTCTTACAGGAAGAACTGCAATGGATGGCTTGGAAAAGATTTTTAGCTTTCGAAAAGTAAGGGGCATGGTTATTATATTAATTTGTTTTTGTTTTGTCCTAATCCCGATAGTGTTAACTATCCCCCTCATTTCCTTGTCACTCCTCCCCCTTGATGAAAATGAAAATGATAAATGCTTGCTTTTCTATTCACTACTTTTTCTTACAAAAGTTAGGTAACATGTTGATTTAGTGACTGCTGGAATGGCACAACTTAAGCCATATGTTTGATGAGAAATAAAAAGGAAATAAAAATTTGAGCAGTTGAAGACCACCATAATGCCGAGTCCTTGATGATAAAATGAATGAGTACTGCCTAATACATGAGTACCAACAGTAATGTACAGCTTAAAGGCATAAAATATTATAGTCTCAGAGCCTAATAATTTTATCATATAGACCGGTTCTTCCTGCACATGTGCTTTCTCGCTGGGTTGATTTGTAGTTGTGTTGCATTTTCTAATCTATTGTGCAATGCTAGAGGAGAATATGTGTTTATTCTATTAGGAGATATCTTACCTCATTCAAAAATGTGAGACGTTTCCCAATCGATCGTGTTATAGCAATGTTATTAAAGTTAGAATAATCTCTTCAGCACTTCGCAATACAAAACCTTGGCACCTGCATGTATAAGACAAACATGAAAAGCGGCATACATTTGTGTTGTACTTTCTATTTGCTATTGGAAATTTTGATGCGCAAACCTAGTATCCTTAATATTAATTTATTGCTAAACTTATAGGTTAATTTTATAGCTGCCAGTGTTGTTTCAGAGCTGGGTTTGAATTTTATCTATTCTGTTTATGTTAAGGAAAATGATATGGCATTGACATATTAAATGGCTTATTCATATTCAACTAGATGACAGGGTGATATGTTTTGGTGGTGTTTGCTGCAGTTTTCATTACTTCGATATTGATTTATGGCTAGAAAGTACTTCAAAATAATTCCATGTAATTGTTTTATTTTAGAGGAAACCCCCAAAGGATAGACAGTGTGTCCTCCAATAAGCGAATTATATTCACCTATGAGCAGGTAAGTTAAAATTGCTTCTATATATTTATTGTTTCTTCCCCTTTTCTGCCAACAAAAATTTTTGTGCCTTCTAATTTCTAAAATTAAAACAATATCCCTCTTAAAGCTATTAAATTATTGTGTTTGGTCTATTACATATACTTCTTTATCATTGTACGGAAATTTTAAATCCTTTTTCTAAGGGCCATAACTTATGTATCCGTCTCATTATGGAGTCCCTCTGTCCAAATTAAGCTCCTTTTGCATTGCCAAAGAAAAGTAGAAATTATCCATGAAAATTATTTCTGAAATACCATTTCTACCCTTAATGAGTATAATATAAATGGAAGACTTGATAACCCCAACTTCAAAATCCCCAAATCTCTACTCATTGTGATTCAGAAGGACATTTCGGTGATCTTCTTCTCTGCTCTTCAATGTAACAGTATTGTTGTTTTTGTTATCAGCAACAAAAGAATGATCTAATAACATCTTAGCCGTTTATATTGACTTAGGATCTCTAGTAAAGCACTTTGATAGAAAATCTTTTCCTTCTTTAGACAATTCTTGAGGAATTTCTGGCAATTCATCTCCTAATCCAAGTTGAATCAACAAAGCTGCTACGTTGATTTCTTTCTTGCAATTCCATGCTAGTTTCCTGTCACCATCTCAACCAAAGCACACCAAGAGCCCAAATACCACATGGTCATTCTTGTTGACTTTCCAGTGACATATACAGAGGAGTTCCTCGAATTTCCATTCTCCCCCGTTTTTCCTCTGTTTTTTTTTTTTTTTTTTTTTTTTTTTAACAATAAGTTTTGAAGCTTTATGTTGCAGTGGAAAAACTCTTTTGCATGAATATCATAAAGACCCTTTAGTGTCGATATTGTGAAATGTTTAATCTCCGAGTCCGTTAAACAACAGCCGGATTTTGAAGTTGAGGTCATCAAGTCTTCTCGATTCTCTAGCGAGAATGGAGCTGGCGGAGATGGAGATGATCAGGGCAAGGGAGACTTTGTGGTGGGAGGCAGAAAAGAGGAGGATGGAATTGGACGCTGAGTTGACTCACATGATTCTAGGAACTTGGTTGCAGATTGCATCAATTGGCACTGGGAAGGGGCTTCTGTTGCAGATGATCATGACCCTATCGTTACATCAACATCCACGTGATGATGTACCTGCTGTTGCAGCGCCACTCATAGTCCCACACCCATTATTACCACTTGATACACCGGCAGTACTCTAGCTACTGCTGCCTTTGAAATCCTAGACTCAAATGGCATTGCCTGTGTCTCACTAGGTAATTTGGATAAGCTAGTAAAGAAGTTGAATAAGGGGTAATTTGGACTTTTCAAATGGCTTAGATGGAAAATCGACCACTTTTTGGATGGAGGGACTTCATAATGAGACGGAGGCATAAGTTAGGATCCTCAAAGCTAGGGGTGGCCATGGTTCCGATTCCAAATAATGTGGAACCGGAATTGAATCGAAAACTGATGGTTTCAGTTTGGAACCGGCCGGTTATGGTTCCAGTTTATGTTTCTTAACGGTTTCAAAACCGATAGTTCCAGACGGTTCTCATTGGTTTTTCGGGCGGTTCGCATAATTTTAAAACCAAAAAATCTAACTTACACAAATACTCTTAACATAACTAGACGTTATATAGCCGTTTATAGTTGTTAGGATGGTTAATTTGGAAATTTTGATAAAAATTTTTGAAAAAATAAAAAAACTGTGTTGGAACCGCCGGTTGTCAAAACCTTCGGTTCCGGCCGGTTCTTAGAACTGCCGATTCACGATTCTAAAAAACTTAGAGCCGGAACCGAACCGCAACCTCCCGGTTATGGTTCCGGTTCCAAAAATCGGAATTTGGCCACTCCTTCTCAAAGCTATTTCACCAAAGTAGAGGAACGCAAGTGTTAATTACACTACAATTTTTGAGACGTCAGTGTATTTTTCGTTTTAAAATTTATAATTGTACATCTAAAATTACAAAGTCCAATTACGTAAACTCTTATCGGGCTTTACTTTTATAAAATAAAAAGGAAAATTAAATTTAGAAATTGCCTTTGTATAGTGACATCTACAATGCAAAGAGTAAGTTAATTGCGTGAACTGAACCTTTTAGCCACGTGTAGAGAAAGGGCTTTCCAGCAAGAACTCTATTAGTTGATGAGCTGGTTGGCTTAGGAACATCACCTTTGAAAGGAGGAGTGGGTTGGAATTGTCAAAAAGGAAGGAAAAATTACTGTTCTCATGAACAGTGATTTTTTCTATCATTTTAGTGTATAGTATAATATAACACTATGTGTTACGTGTTTGATGCTCTTGTCTTATTCCGTATGCCCAAAGAAAACACAAATCTTTTATTTGATGTTGTTAAGGATTAGTTGTAAATAGAGTTCTATTAGGAGTTAGATTCCTAATTAGTTTATGATTTGTATTCCTAAATAGCTAGGTAGCATAGAATTCCTCATATATAGACCTATATAATCGATTGATGAGATACAAGAAATACAATTACAATATAATCTCTCAACATGGTATCAGAGCCTTCCTTTGGAAAAGGAAAAAAAAAAAAAAAAAAAAATGTTTCCCGAAGTTTCCACTTACGAAGCCACTGCCATAGGAGCTTTCTAGGTGTTTATGCTCACCGCCACCCAGATTTCTCAGCCGTCGATCGCTAATCTCCCAGATGCAACTCGGTTCGCCAGTTCAACGCGAATGGCCACACTCAATGAACCATGTGTCTCTTTTTTCCATTCGTTCCTCTCTCGACGTGCTTTGAAGAGAGAGTGCACCCAGTGAGTTGCATCGTCATTCTTGGGTACTTATTCATAGTTTTGGTATTGCTGCGGTTCTGTTGCAACGTATGTCGACCAGTCTCTAGCTCACTGCTGTGCCTTTAATTTGCTTGAGGAAATATTTTTCCTTTGCTGTGACAATTGGTTTAGGTAATTTTCGGTGATTTGCTAGTGATTCCTTTTTGCATTAGGGTTTAGTACTGCGCCTTTGCTGCAGTTACAGGTATTCTGCTTTTGAACCTTCTCTTTTGTCGAGAGCAGTGCAACCCAGTGAGTTGCATTGTGTTCTTGGCCTTCAGTGGTGTGCTCCATTTGCTAGATTTTCCTTTGCTGCGTTTCTGAATATCTGCGCAACTGGGCTTCCTCTTTGAGGCATTGATTATGGAAGCTTGAAACAGCCCTGTTAGTTGTTTTTTGGTTCAGTGAGATTTGTTTTGACAACCTAAGTGTGTTGTCTTAATTCTGCTGTTATTATTTGGTTTGGGATTCTATATTGCTATAATGAAGTGGGTCTTATAATGAAGTGGTACAGTTTGCTATATGGTTTGTGCTTGCTGAAAAGTAGATAGTTTGGTAACAAGTTGAGCATGATTAACATCTATGCCAACTTGAGGGGGAGTGTTTAAGGATTATTGTAGATAGAGTTTTATAGGAGTTAGATTTAATTAGTTTATGATTTGTATTCCTAAATAGCTAGGAAGCATAGGAATTCCTTATATATTGACCTATGTAATCGATTGATGAGATACAAGAAATACAAGTACAATATAATCTCTCAACAGATGTATATATATTATCTGATTAGATCAAGTTTTGGTCTATTTGATTGAACTTGTAGATAGAATTAGGGCTTGTTATGATAGAACCCTACAATCTCTTAGTTCTTATTTTTTTTAAAATTCTGCTTAATTGTTTCATTAACGCACAACCTTAACTGAATTCAAAAGCAAAGGCAAGGTTATTACCCACTACAGTAATGGAGCTTAAGAGCTGCCCACTAATAACCACCTTGTTAGCTACACATGAGAAAAACATAACAGTCAAATACTAAATAAAACTCCCTAAATAGAAGGCTCCCTGTGATATATATTTTTTTATTAAAAGCATGTGAATTAATTATAGTTGAAGAGAAACAACAAAAATTTTCTAGTTGAGGGGCTTCATGAATTGTCACCTCTGTATCATGTGACTGAAAGCTTTTGTGATTTAAAATCATTTTCAGATTGGGCACTTTGCAAATCCCTGCCATTTTTGTTTGAGTTCGTACAGACTTTGGACATATATGGACGCCATGTCTGTGTAACTGTACTCATTTTTGCATGTAGTGCCAAATTTAACCTTTAATAGAAAAATGGCATGAACTTTCCTTTGCAACTGAGTTGCATTTCATTGCCAGCCGTAAAAGGGGGTTTTCTACTGTTTGAATTGATAGTAAACTGATAATCATGGTTTTTAAACCTTAAAATATTTCTATGGTTTTCCATTAAGATTTCTGTGTGGCTTCTGAAATTACGCTTTTCTTAAATATTGAATCCTATTATCATGAAAGAACAAATTAGTCTATATCATGATTCACTGTTCACCATCACACTAAATAATGAATTGCTTACTGCATTCTAATGTTATCCAGTGCCTGATGTATTTATACCATTATCCTGATATATGGTATGACTATGCTACTTGGCACACAAAAAATGGCTCTATAGATGCTGCAATCAAAGTATTTCAGCGGGCTTTGAAGGCTCTTCCAGGTAATTTTATTTCTACTTCTGCCTTTTGACAAAGTTTCCAAACTTTTCAAGTCCATTGTTTATATTAATTTTACTTTCTTGGTAATGTTATAATTGGCTTCATTATCAACAAAGAGGGATGTAAACTACAATTCCCATTGATTGGAAAATTTATTTTCTCCCTTTCTTATACTCGTTTGTCTCTTTCTCTCTCTGCTTCACCACCAGATTCAGAAATGCTAAAGTATGCTTATGCTGAGTTAGAGGAATCACGTGGAGCAATCCAGGTATGAGAAATCTGCAATTCTTCCTCTATTTTTTGTCAGTTTTCTTCCTTTCGGTCTGAGGTGCTCCCTTCTTTCATGCAGCCTGCAAAGAAAATATATGAGTGTCTTTTGGGTGATGGCGTTAATACAACGGCACTGGCACATATACAGGTAATGGCTTTTGGGTGTTTTTTTTTAATAATTCTGTCATTGTGTCCTTGGTATCTTTATGCTGTACTGCTTTCTCTTGCATATGAAAATGTCAAGAAAAGATACTGATTATACTTGCGATGCAGTCTAGGCAATGTTCAGAATTTTCTTAGCTTTGGATTTATATTTGTAGGAGTAGGATTAGAATATTTCTATTTGGGATTCCTAATCTTGTTAGGAATGCATTGATTATGAAATCTATACAAATGCGTGCATAGCTTAGTTGTTTTCCTTAGGTTTTTGATAATGGACTTTTTGTTATTTGATTTAGAGGCTACTGTCCTCTCTATCCTCTTCTCTTCCGCTCCATTACCTTGGATGCTGCTCAGAGAGAGAGAGAGAGTGATGCAAATACTGCTCTATCAGGCCCAGGGCCCTATTTGGTATATTCTAGAAGAGGGAAGACAGCTAAGACTAGCAAGATTGGGGAACAAGGAAATAAGCCACGTCATACAAGTTAGTTAGAGCTGTGATCTTTATAGGGGGAATCAAGGAGTGAGAAAGGCATCTTTGGACAACCAACTGCATCTTTGGACAACCAACTATACAAGTTAGTTAGAGCTGTGATCTTTATAGGGGGAATCAAGGAGTGAGAAAGGCATCTTTGGACAACCAACTATTGTAGGGCAGAATTATCTGCACGGGCTGTGGCCTGGGGGCTGATTCTATCAGTCATTTATCCTTTTCTTTTTCTGTTAGTAGTTGGTTCCTGTTTCCAGAATTTTCCAGTCATCTTGTAGCTTTTTGGATTGAGAAATTAATACAGTATATTCTTCAGTTTTGCCATTTAATTCTCTGAAATTCCCCATCTGTTATTGGGAAGGTTGAACAGGACGTAGTTGTGATTGTGAACATAACTGATCAAGTAGTGAGGACAGACATAAATGGATCTATATGGAATGGCTGTTTCAGGGCAAATTCTTGTTTAGGATCTTGCTAAAAGGCCTTGGAAGGAGTTGGACGGTTTTCGTTTGGAATAAGTCTGGAAGATTAGAGAAGTTGCTCATTTGGTAGTGAGGATTTTGGTGAAAAGGAGGTTCACAAGTGAACAAAGCAAGGACAGGGTAGTGGATGATGAATATGATGCTGAAACAGTTGACTTTTTGCTGTTGAGTTGCAGTTTCTCAAGAGGATAAGAAAGCTTGCTTTTTTCAGCAGTTGGTATTTTTTATGGGTACCAGAAGGCTTATTACAAAATAAGTGTGGGCTGGAAGGAATATATCTTGTCATATGGGAAAAAATTTCTCTCTTAATCCCTCTTGTTAGTTTTTGTCATTTTCAAGGTAATGAAACTGGAGGGCATCTGGATAAGAAGAGGAACTGTCTCTCTGCACTCACCAGAGACTGGTTTAGGACATTTGATTTAGAGAAAAATCATTGATACTTTTACTCTTGCACTTTTTTTTTATTCTCCTTTTTATATATAATTTGTGTTACTTTGCTACTTGGATTGCACCTCCATGGTGCCTTCCAGCATTTTGTAAAGGTAAAACTATAAACATAGATCACAAATTACTCAACATGTCAGATAGGAAAGGGTCGAACATTTCAAAAAGGTGAATGTCCCCATATTTTCTCTTATCTTTTCTTTTCTTGTTTGGTTGTTTGGGTTGTCTTCCTGTTATTAATTTGTACCTTTAAAAGAAAGCTTCTATTTTAGCAAATTTTACACTAGATATCAGGCTGCATCATTTTTTTTTCTATGATGTTCCATGCTGCAGTTTATTCGCTTTCTTAGAAGAAATGAAGGGGTAGAAGCAGCACGCAAATACTTCCTAGATGCTCGCAAATCCCCAAACTGCACATATCATGTGTATGTTGCTTATGCGCTAATGGCATTTTGTCTGGACAAGGATCCAAAGGTATTCATCTTGTAAGTGGAGTGTCTTAAAACTCTATATAATAGCTTGTTATATGTTGCTGCTTATGTCAATAGTATTGTTTATACTGTCAGAAACTATATTTAGATTATCTGTCACTCTTAGCAATCTGTAAATTTATGCTAAACGAAATAGCCTCTGGTCTTTATGGTTTCTGCTTCAGAGAATTCGACAGGAGTGTCTTTAGTTGAGGGTATTATTTAGTTGGTTTGTTTTTCTGGTGTTTTTTTTTTCTTTATTTGAAAGAAGGATTTCTTTTGGCCCATTTTTTTTTATTTCTTCTTTTCTCCCTTTACAAATATACCTTTTCCTTTTTTTTTTTTTTAAAATTAAAACGAAAACAAAGCTGAATAGGATCAGTTGAACTCATCTCTTGTGGTGCATCATGCAGATGGCACACAATGTTTTTGAAGCAGGATTGAAGCGATTTATGCATGAGCCTGTATATATTCTCGAGTGAGTTCAGATCCTCCTGTCAAAAATTATACATAGGAGAAAAGGAGGAACATTTGTCTTTCCTCTCCTTTTTTCAAACTTAAATTTTTCTGTTAAGAGCTCATGTTCATGCAATTGCTAATGGCAATCATTCTTGGGGATTCACATGTGAGTTATATATGTATCCCTTATTAATTTAGGTTTTGTCTATTTTAATAATGAATGTAATTGTAGACACTGTTTGTTGTTTGGAATGATTTTTATTAAGACGTTCATCTAAATACATCTAAGTAATAAAGCTCATCAATTTCTATGTATAAAAATGTAAACCATAATGTTGAATTTTTTTTTTTTGGAAAATTACAGTAGTCCCTGTGGTTCGCGAAATACAGCGAGTCCATCCCTATGTTTTTAAAAATATACCAATTTGTCTCTACGTCTTGCTTCCATTACACTACTAGGTATTTCTGTCTAATTTTTGTATCTTTTTTGTTAAGTCAACAAGAAAATTAAGATGTCAAAGGAGAGATTAAAATTTTATACCAGAAAAATTACAATACGGTCCTTTTGGTTTAAGAAATACAACTGATTTGTCCCTGTGTTTTTTAAAATATATCAATGGTGAGAAGAGATAAAAGGATAGTTTCATCATTTCATAAGGCACATAATGGAAAAGGTACACAAATTGGATAGAAGGACCTTATGGTTTGACGAAAGTAAACTATAAGGGAATTTAGTCTATTTCCTAAAACACAAGGACTGATTAATTGTATTTCCTAGATCACAGGGACCGTACTGTAACTTTTCCTATTTTTTTCCCCCTCCAAATGCAACTGTATGCCTTCACACATGTTCATATCATGCATATGTATATATATGATTATGTAAAGGGAACTGCAATACCAGAGGATAGATAGATTTTTCGTAATTTTCTTGTGATATGGTTTCTCAATTATCAATTTTCCTCTTGATGGTCCAGATATGCAGATTTCTTGTCTCGTTTGAATGATGACAGGAACATCCGTGCTTTATTTGAGAGGGCGTTGAGCTCACTGCCACCAGAGGAATCTGTTGAGGTTCAGTAGCTCCTATTTCCTTTTCTATTATCTAATGAGGATAATAGTTTGGTTATAATATAAACAGCAAATGCTTATCATTATGGCATGAAAATGAATTAAACGAAGTTTGTAAAGTGTTGTATCAAATGAGAAGTGGAGGTTTGACAGAAAGCATTGTAATAATTTGTTGCCCACATCCATATCCAATTATGGAGATTTTGACAAGTCATGAAATTAGATAGAGATGGAGATTTTGCCCCACACTGAGGAACCTGTGCCCAGCCCAAGCGGGGCTGTTTGTCCCTGCCCCATCAATGATACTGGTGCAAGGGTGGTTTTTGGTTGCCTGCTTCAATTCCCCACCCAACCTGAATCTGATTCAAAATATGTATTTTTATACCATATTTTAAATGTTTTATAAATGCAAACAAATTTTGTTTTAATAAAAATTTAGTATTATTATATAATGTTGACAATAACATTAAAATATTTGATATAAGTATACATATTTAATAATAAATATATCAAATTTACTTACATTCAATTAAGATATATTTTTTAATAATATAAAATTAACTAAAAAGTTAAAATTGGGAATACAAGCCCCGGCCCCGCCTCAATTACTATTAGGGTGGGGCTAGTTAGTGCCAAACCTGCCTCCAGCTTGCTCTGTTGCCATCCATTCCTAAAATAGATGCTTGCCTTTATCTAATCCTTGTACTTGTTGAGTCCATCTAGCTTGCCCATGGGGTTTTATAGGGCAATGTCAAATGATCCTGATTCTTTATTTATTATTTTTAAGTTGTGTTACATTCTTCCATATATATATATATATATATCTTATTATATATATATATTATGTTATCATTCACTATTTAATTGATGTTCTTGCCAAATGCTTGTTCATATGGGTCTGGAAACCGATTTTACTCAATTTGGAGGGCAAACTTATGGAGATCTAGCTAGCATGTTGAAGGTGCATTTATTTTTGGGCTAGAATGAATGAATGGCACTTTTTAACATTTAATTCTTCCTATATGTATCATTCAACTATTTAATTGATGTTCTTCCAAATGCTTGTTCAGGTCTGGAAACGATTTACTCAATTTGAGCAAACTTATGGAGATCTAGCTAGCATGTTGAAGGTAGCATTTATTTTTGGCTAGAATGATGAATGGCACTTTTTAACATTTAATTCTTCCTAAGGTTTGTACCATAACTAGCGCTCTTCCATAGAATGATAATAAAAACCAGGTATTACATCACCTTTTCTTTGGTCAGAACTAAAATATCCCAAGACCCTAGAGAGGTGTCCTTTTGGTTCCTTTTTATTGTTAGGTTGCTTTCGAGGGGAATCTCTATAAAACCATCCAAACCCCTTCGCCAACTACATCCTTCATTATTGATTCTGGTTCCTGAGTTCTAGCTGCTAATTAATATGAGTTCTATTAGGATTCCTTAGACTCCCCTCAATTTTCCATACCGGACTGTTTTGTAATTTTCACATCTCCTTTTACTGAGGGATATCTCCACCATTCCAATTAGCAATGTTGTAGTGGAGTTTATGCTCATCCATTGATTCCATAGCATTCTGTGTTCATATGCTACCAACTAATTTAATAATATACAAGATGCATCGATTCATGCAATTCTATTAATTTCTTAATAGATTATACTCTGTCATTTTCTGTTCTCTTCTGCAATGCATGGTTGGTGATCCTACTTGCTAATGTGAGACTAGTCTAGCCCTTTCAGGAATATAACATTTACCTTGTGTTATAACTTGTTACTTGTGATGATCACAATCCATATGATCACAAGCCTGACTCGATAGATATTTTTAGTGACATGTACCTTTTCATTATATTGACTGACAATTTCAGCATAATGAAATCTTTGGACTGTGAGTTTAAATTTATTATTAAGAAAATAGTGGGGGTTTAATATATCTTAAAGGAGGGGTTTCCATAGTTTACTCTGCCACAATATTACATGGACATGGGAATCTAAACAGACATGAATTACGGAGCCACCTGCTGATCAGTGAAGGATTCAGGACAAGAGATATGTATCATAATTGAAAGAAATCAATTGAAAAATTTCATGATCTTTCTCTCTCTCTCTGTTTATGTGTTTGTGCATCATGTTTTCTTCTATGAGAGTTTAGCATTAAGTATTAATGGTATAATGTAGGTTGAGCAGCGAAGGAAAGAAGCTCTTTCTAGGACAGGTGAAGATGGAGCATTGGCATTAGAGAGTTCGTTGCAAGATGTTGCGTCACGGTATAGTTTCATGGATCTTTGGCCATGCTCTTCCAAGGATTTGGATCATCTATCTCGACAAGAGGTATCTTTGATAATTTTTTTTTCCCTTAAAAGTATGACATGCATTTATGTGGTTCTGATAGAAAAGGGGTGAATTAAACTAAAGCACAACAAGGGGATACCAACCCATGAACAAGGATGTTGTGGGCTGTTGGTCAGTGCAATAGTAGAAGTCTTGGACTTGCATTGACAAGGATAGAAATTTGAGGATTAAAAATAGATACTTCCTGTGAAGTTGCTGAAGGTTAAAATTTCTGCAACTTCTGTGTTATTACCCAGTTCAGTTCACACAATGATGGGTAATGGCTTTCTTATTATAATATTTCTGTAGAATATGCCAATGGTGAACTAACTAAAGCACAAGGGAATGCCAACCCGTGAACAAGGATGTCATGGGCCATTGGTCGGTGCAATGGTAAAAGTCTTGGACTTGCAGTCCTAGGGTACAAGTTTGAGAATTAAGAACAGTTACTTCTGTGAAGTTTCTGAAGGTTAAAATTGTCTGCAAGTTTCTGTTATTACCCAGTTCAGGTTGCACCATCATGGTTAAGGGCCTTATTATTATAATTTTTCTGCAGAATATGCAAATTTTTCATCAATCCTTTTGTATCTTTGTACGTGTTAGATATACAGGAGATGAATAATAGAAATAAGATTTTATGCTTGTATCGTCATAAAGCTTTATCAATGCCTTGGCATTTAGCTCCCCTGCTGCTTACTTTGCCTGTTACATGATGGATTCATAGAGTTTACCTGTTAATTATTATGATAACCCTCTAATTGATTGTTGTAACTCCTCTAGTTACCCAAAGGGAACATGAAAAATGCAACTTTTGAGATAGATCTTCAATTCTGAAGTCCTAGAACAACAATATTTCAGTTCTCAAGGAGCTAAAAGTATGATATTTTTCAAACTGGAGTCCTACAAATAGAAAGATCAACTAGAAATGAATATACTTTGGCAGACTTTTACACAGAAATAAGGTCTCTTGGGCAGAAATGCCTCTTTTGGATAACAGTAAAAGGAGGATTTCGGAGGTTTCTTTTTGTTGACTATAATGGGAGTGCTTTTAAGTTGAAAGAGAACAAAGAAAACACTTCAAGAACTTGTGCATGTAATCTTCTGACACTTTCGAATTGATACATGTTTATTGAAGTCCCTTGTGCTAAATCTATAGGCAATTTGGGGAGTTCATGTTTGATTTTTGTTACAAATTATTAAATATTTTAAGGCAGAATTTTTCAATGCATCTATGAATCAGATCTGGTGTTTTGTTGTCACAATCCACATCCCACATCAACACTACAGCATGGGATCCTTTTGATTTTTTTAGGTCATTGGCAAAGTGATTCTAGCTAAACTTCTAAGTCGGGTGATATAGCACATTACTAGTTTAGTGGGAATCATGCATGATATATTTGTTAGTTAAATGTTCCCACAAGCAACTTCATGTAGCATTTTTGGGTGATAAGTTCGTGGTGTCATAATTTTTTGGAAGAAGCCTAAGCCACTCATGTCCAATGTGAGGTTAGTGTTTGTTGATCGATGTGCTGCTGAAGAAGTGAAGATTGTTGCTGGATAATTTTCACCCAAACTCACTGCCATTGTTTCTGTCACTTGGCTAGATTCTTAGTCATGATGGGATGCTCCTAGTTTATACTTGTAATGTGCATGACTCAAAAGTGCTACTGACAATTGGTTCATGGGTCATTAACACTAAAAAAGATTAAGAGTATCACCAGTGCACTATCAGTGGAGGATTTGTTCTTGTTTCATGACATACTTAGGCTGGCATCACTGCCACCCATTATAATGATATAACAAACAAAGCCTTAGTATAATTGTTTGATATGGAACAAAATCCATGAACAGAACCAGAATCACCTGTAATACTTTTTACAGTTGAAAAGTAAAGAGGCATCTGGAAGATGACTCTGATAAAACAAGACTTGATTTTGACTAGGGAAATTCAATAGCTCAATAGTCAATTTGGGGTTTTCTGAATAGTTATTACAATTGCTTTTTGGAAAGCACTTCCATGTATGCTTTAGCGAGGTGCTTCTTGGACATTATGGCCAAAATATTGCAGAAGCAATTTATATTGCTTTGAGTTTAAGCATAAATGTAATAATACTTCTTGTATTAAAAAAAATGTTACTGTTTTGTTTGCTTACAAGTTATATCTGCATTTTTTATTTTTGAATTTAGAAGTATGGATAAACATGTGTAGAAGAATTCTAAACTTTGATTGAATGCTTTTTCAGTTAACAAAATTCTGTTTTTGGATTGTTGTTTTTCAGTGTTTGTTATGTTTCTTTTTCAGTGGCTTGCTAAAAATACTAGTAAGAAAACGGAGAAGTCTGCTGTTTCTAATGGACTTGGGATTGTAGGTACTAATTGCTTTTTTATCCCCAGAAACTTTGCATAATTCTTCCATCTCTCCTTTCTTGTATCTTTCTCTTTTTTTTAATCCCAAAAACTGGATTAATTTTTGTGTTGTCTTTTTATGTAGATAAGGTCAATACAAGTGCAGCAAACAATTCATCTATATCCGCAAAAATCATTTATCCAGATACTTCTTGTATGGTGATTTATGAGCCAAAGCAAAAGCAAGGTATGCAACTTTGATCTCATCATAGTTCACCTATAAGTAATTTGAATGCTACAATTCATTTTGGGACTTTTATGTTTTCTTGCTCAAAGTTTAATTATAATTAATCTAGGGAAGTTTATTGATTTTCAATGGGACTCCGAGGAGCTCTATGGATATTCTTTAAATGTGGTGTTTAGTGAAACATAACAAATAAAACTGGTCACGTGTCTAGTCATGGCAGCAAAATGATTGTGAATAAAATAGGTACACCCAGTTATTTAAGAAATAGAAAATAATAAGCACGGCTCCAACTAAAATGCAAAATGCGCTTTAACTATACAACATTTTCCACCCTCATTGAGAGCCTGCCTCATATTGCAGTTCAATATCCTTCGATAAGAGTCGGGTTAATACATAGTATTCTTTAATGTTACAGTTCATTTGTCCCAAAATGTAGATGATTCAGTACTGTAAGATGTTACACTTGTAATCTACCAAAAATAATGGAGCCACAGGCACATATAATCTTTCATTAACTATATGCTAATTTACGATCTTTTTTGACAGCAGAGACTGGAACTTCTACAAGCACGACAGCGCCTGGATCTGGTACTGCTTCTAGCCCATCAATTAATCCCATCATTGGGTTGGTAGGTTCTGAAGCAACCAATGCATTTGATGAAATATTGAAAGCAACACCAGCCACATTGAGATCATTTTTAGCAAACTTGCCTACAGTTGAAGGTAACCTCAAACTTCCGTATCTGCTATGCCTAAAATTCTAACTGATGAAATTTTGGGTTGATAATTTTCTAATTGAAATATTTTCAAATGATGAGAGTGAGATGATAAGCAACTTATATTGCTACTGCTTGTTTTATCTTTATGAATCTATGCGTTGTTTTTGTTGAGATGAGAAAAAAGTTCTAGTAATTCCAGAAGACATGACCTTAATGTTGTAAAATGATGTGGAGCTTTTCAAATATTTCTTATTTATTGAAACTGTATTGCTGTAAACTACAAATTTCAGAAATTTCTATTTATGCAAAGAGTCTAATATAGTTTCCAACTCTAATTCCTATGCTGTTGCATAACGAATTGAGTGTGCTTGAATTATGTTCTCCTGGTATCAAATTTATGTGATTTCAAATGATAGTAATGGTGTATCAGAAGTTATGACATAAATACCCAGTGCTGTTGCTGGATTAAATATATTCTTTGGTTGCTAATGATTGTCCTTGAATATTTCTAGGTCCGACACCAAATGTGGATATTATATTATCAATTTGTTTGCAGAGCGACATACCAACTGGGCAGATGGGAAAGTTAGGTACTTCCGCTGTTCCATTACCAGCTGGTCCTGCTCCTGCTACAAGTGACCTTTCTGGTTCAAGCAAGTCTCGTCCAGTCCTTAGTGGTTCATCGTTCCAACAATCTAGGGATAGACAATCTGGAAAAAGGAAGGGCGTAGACAGTATGTTCCTCTTATTCAAAACCATGGTTAATCGTTTTTATGCATTGATTTTGAAATCAAATCACATGCATCTCTATTCTCTGTCACTTTGTTTTAGGAATTACTTTCTGTTAGACCTAAAATGCTTAGAAATTTGGACGTCGGTGCAAACCATTTGACTTGCAATTTAATAAAAACAATTTTAGTCCTTTAGCATGTTAATGCAGCCTTGGCCATCCTGTGTTGCACATTAACTTTGTTTTGAATTGTCATGCTCGGTGTAATCTTTTGGTACTGCCACGTGGGCGGTGTCATGGTTAGAGAGAGGTGTAAAGAGCCTATTTAGTTTCACTGATGTTGCTGCCGTAAAATGTTACAAGCTTTAAATGATTTTGTACACCTTAAAATGAGCACACTAAGCCTATTAGAGTTGAACATGTGAAATTCTTTTGCATAATTATATTTTCGAATTGGTTGGCAGCCATTTTTTTTTTTTTCTGGGATTTCATTTGACGTGTTGCTATCATTATAGGGCAAGAGGAGGATGAAACTGCAACGGTTCAGAGCCAGCCACTACCGCGAGATGTTTTCAGAATTAGACAAATTCAGAAATCGCGTGTAGGTACTGTTTCTCAAACAGGATCAGCATCCTATGGAAGTGCGCTATCTGGAGATCTATCTGGTAGCACTGGCTGATACTTTTCTTGGGTTCTTTGCCATAATTCTTTTGTAAATGGCTAATGTACTTAAAAAGAGTTTTTTGTAGTGATATTTAGTTCAAATATTCATTTAAATATATGTTTGTCTTTTACTGGTGTATTACAGTTTTAGTTTCCATTGTAAAGTTTTAAGGTTGGCTTAAAATGCTAATCCCAAGTCGCAGTGTTTGACAAATAATTAGAGGTGAATATTTTGTCGTTTTGATTAAAATTGATGAACCAGCTTTAAATGATTAGATTGATTTTTTTTTTTTTTTAATTTTTTTATGTAAACAAACCCAATCGAATACTTTCCAAAATTGAATTGAAGCAATTTGGTTTGATTTGGTTTTAATTGCAAAAAAATGAAAGTTCAGATATATCAGAGGACTTCTGCAGGGTTTAGGGTAGGGCCAAAAATCTATTAACGTAATTGAAAAAAGAGCACAAGATGTGGCTGTTAATGAAGGCAACCTAGGAGTGCGAGATATGGTTTTCATGCACTTGTAAGTGGAGGTAGAAATGCAATTGTTGTTGCGTGATTTGTATGAATAAAGGAATGAATTTAATGAGCTCAACAGAACCGTCTCTTATCATAACCTTAATAAGATATATAATTCTAATTCATATTAGGATTTAATCACACTTAAATTAAACATATTTAACCGATTTAATCACACTTAAATTGAATTTTAAATTAAATCTTTTGGATTATTAAACTTGATCTAAATATTTTATAAGTCAAATAAAATACAATCAATTAATCCAATAGAAATAAAAATTTCTAACAGTTATTTCTATAAATAGAATATTTTGTACCTAGGTTACAAGCTTGATGCCTTTTATATAGAGGTATAAAAACTTCTGATTGGAATTATAATTAATAAACATTTTGGAGTGATTGATAATACGTGTTTGCCTGACATTTGACTTTTTAGCGTAGTTATATTAACACTTGGTGGCTGCTGGATCATGGGTTTTTTTATCTTGTTATTGGGCTTGGGCCATCCGGGTATAGCAAATCTTATGACGTTTTGCTAACATGTATCCCACCGTAATGATCTTTAGATTCAACAAGCACATTACCATGTACAACTAATTGGCGTGGGGAAATCACTGTTATGGTAACAGTGATTTTCCCACTTAGTCCTTCACTGGTTCTTTAATTACATTTTAGCCTATACTGTTTTTTAATCCTTTTATTATTCTTTAATTAAATTCTTCCCACAATTGCATTTTATCCACTTAATCATTTTATAGTTATTTAATTAAATTTCTATCTAATATCATTTTTCCACTCAACCCTTTTATTTTTCTTTAATTATATTCTTACCATAACTTAAATAGTTATTCATTTCAAATTTCTTAAATTAATTTTTTTAATTTATATAAGTAAAACTTAATATGAGTTTTATATTGCATTTTTTGGATGCATAATTATAAATAATTTGAATAATTAATTTTCTAATATATAAAATTGACGTACCAAAATTACTAATGGCTGACATTTTTCGTTAATTTGATTTATTTCCATACTTTTTCATATCTTCTCTCATAATATGAAAATCATTAGAATATGAAAATTTTGGTACTCACATATATATCCATACATACCGTTCACATTAAGTGCTATCAAGATGTGCATTTATAATAAACAATTGTCCATCAAATATTAATTATTAAATGTCGGTAATAATTTTTTTCAAGCAAATTAGAGATTAATATTATAAACATATATAAAGCTCTACTAATTCTATTTTTCAAACAATGTTTATTTATTCTTTTATTAGTCCAATCAATAAAATAATAATATTTGATATATTTTTGAAATCCAAGAATAATAATATCTATATAACTTTATATTTTTATGATTTTTTTATCTAAATTGACTCAAATTAAAAAAATATTAATTATTAAATGTCGGTAATAAATTTTTCAAGCAAATTAGAGATTAATTTATAAACATGATATTGAAGCTCTACTAATCTATTTTTCAAACAATGTTTATTTATTCTTTTATTAGTCCAATTCAATAAAAATAATAAATATTTTGGATATATTTTTGATCCAATCAATAAAATAATAATATTTGATATATTTTTGAAATCCAAGAATAATAATATCTATATAACTTTATATTTTTATGATTTTTTTATCTAAATTGACTCAAATTAAAATTTTAAAGATAAAAAAAATTAATAAATTAGTTCTAATTTCATTTATACTGATTGTCTATTTTCATTTGAGAAATATTATATATCTAATATATTCACATTAAAAGACTTTTACTTTGTATATATTCACATTAAAAACTTTATAAATGGATAAATATTAATTTTTACTCAAAAATGAGTTGTTAAATTATAATGAGTAACTTACTTAAAGATAATAAACACAACATTAAATTTAACCTTTATTATACATTTAGATGTACATATCACTTGGTATAAATGTAAGAAAAAAATAAAGTTTCTTATTGTTTATAATATTTTTATGTACTTATTTTTTAACTAATTATGAATATAAATTGTCTTTGATGATTATTTTAAATAATAAATTAATGATGAAATTAATTTCATCAATAATTTTATTAATTATTATTATTATTTTTAAAAAATATTTTAAAATTATTATAGGTTGAAAATAAAATTATATTGTTAAAAAATTTATAATAAAGTTAAGCCAAGTAAGACAAAAACGAACGTATATAGATTTTCAACAAAAAAAAATGTATTTGATATGATTGATAATAAATATTTTGACAAAACTCTACTAGAAGTAGCATTATCAAATTGTATTGGTACTATTATGGTTTATTATATAATCACATGTATATCACAATGTCAATATAGTATTCATAATGTGATTTACAAGTTAAATTATTATGTATAAAGTCAACAAATATAAAGTATCATGCATAAAATTTTGTTCTAAAATGTCAAATTTCATTATATCATGACCCAACTTTAAAATTATATTTATAAATAGGGAAAATTATTATTTAGTCCCTGAGGTTTTATATAATTATTTAGGTAGTCCTCGACATTTATACATATATATATAACATTCCTGAGGTTTGCTACCATCATATTAATTGGTCATTCCGTCAAAAAAATACACTTTTTTCATTAATTTTGAGAAGAAAAGATGAAATTATCCTTTGGAAAAAGGATTATTTCGTCCCTGAGGTTTGCTATAATTATTAAGTAGTCCCCGACATTTATATATAATTATTAAGTAGTCCCCGACATTTATACAAATATTTATAACGTCCATGAGATTTACTTCCGTCATATTAATTGGTCATTCCATAAAAAAAATACACTTGTTCCGTTAATTTTGAGCGAAAAAGACGAAATTATCCTTTATAAGTTTTTATTGACATTATTATTAATCTATTTGCTCTAAAATACCTCAAACTTACATTTTCACCATCTCCCTCAACCCAATGCGGTCTTCATTACCACCACCGTGTCTCTGTCAAGTATCATCTCCATAACCAGATCACTAACAAAAACTAAAAGGCAAAATAATTATTTCGTCGCTGAGGTTTGCCATAATTATTGGTCATTCCGTCCAAAAAACACACTTTTTGTTGTTAATTTTTAATAGAATGACCAAACTAACCTAAATCTTCTAATCAAGGAGAGAGAGATAAATGGATAAAGGGTAATGATGGCTTGATTGAGTTTGGATGTTGGGTTTTAGTTTTGGTGGTGATCTGGTTATGGAGATGATAGTTTTCATTGACACGGTGGTAATCAGTGGCAATGAAGACCGCGTTTGGATTGAGGAAGATTGGTGAAGATGTTGAGGGTTTTCAGGTATTTTAGAGGAAATGGATTTAATCATAAATGTCATGAAAACTTATAAAGGAATAATTTCGTTCTTTTCCACTCAATTAACGAAAAAAAGTGTATTTTTTTTTTTTATGAAAGGACCAATTAATTATGGACGAAAGTAAACCATCAGGGACGTAATATAATATTTGATATAAATGTCAGGGGACTACTTATAATTATGCAAACCTCCTAGGGACGGAAAATTAATTATTTTTCAAAGGATAATTTTCGTCTTTTCTTCTCAAAATTAAACGGAAAAAGTTAGTATTTTTTTTATCTTACGGAAAGACAATTAATATTGTATTCTGGTTGGCAAACCTCAGGGACGTATATATATATATGTATACATATCGAGGAGCCTACTAAAATAAATTATGTAAAATGCTCAGGACTAATATAAGTTTTCCTTAAAATATATAATATAAATATATAATTTATGATAATTAACTAGTGCATCGTGCTGGGTCATGCGCTCGTAACTCCCAAATGTAATTTTAAAGTTGTCATGATATAACAGAATTTGACATTTTCTGATAAAAATTTATATATGATACTTTATATTTGTTGACTTTATACGTAATAATTTAACTTATAGATAATATTATGAATACTATACTGACAAATACATGAACATGTAATTACTAACTTATAGATAATATTATGAATACTATACTTTTATTATCATGAACATATAATTATATAATAAACCATAATAATATCTGTGCAGTTTGATAATGTTACTTCTAGTAGAGTTTTGTCAAAATATTTGTTAGCACACAAATACATATGTTTTTCATCCAAATAAGGTTGAAAATTCATTTTTGTCTTAGATGACACAACTTTACTATATATTTTTTAACAAGACAAATTTTATTGTCAACCTATAATAGTTCAAAATATTTTTTAAAAATAAAAAATATAATAATTAATAAAATTATTAATGAAATTAATTTCATCATTAATTTATTATTTAAATAATCACCAAAGTTAATTTATATTCATAATTAATTGAAAAAATTAATTAATTGAAAAAATAAATACATGAAATATTATATACAATAAGAAACTTTATTTATTTTTTGCATTTATGCTAAGTAAAATTTAATATTTTATATATTTATAAAGTTTTTTAATGTGAATCTATTAGATATAAAATATTTCTAAAATGAAAATAGGCAATCTGTATAAATAAAATTAAAACTAATTTTTATTAATTTTTATCTTTGAGATTTTAATTTGAGTCCATTTAGACAAAAAAAGTCAAAAAATATAAATTTATGTAGATATTATTCTTGGGTTTAAATAAGATATCAAATATTATTTATTTTATTAATTGGACTAATAAAAGAATAAATAAATATTAATTTAAAAATATTATTAGTAGAGATTTATATTATCAGTTTGTAATATTAATC